GGGCCAAAGAGCCACATGCGGCTTCACGAGCCATGATTTGCCGACCACTGGTATAAAGGAAAGCTTGCAAATCGTGACAGGTCAGTGGGCCAGGAGATAGTGGCCCCCAGCCTCTGGCCAGCAAGTCCTCTGTTTCTTTCTAACTCCCCCACGATGCCGTTCTTCCACATGGGAAAACCCTTATTTTAAAATCCCAACTCTGTGGTCCATTCTACACGGAGTGGCCAGACTATTATGCGTTTCAGAGACCATCATAATCCGGCCACTGTGTGTGTATAGATCTCAAGACACCTTACATTACTTTGGTACATTCGTTCCAGTTACTAAACCAATAAATACATACATCGGAGCCTTATTATTAACGGAGTTTCCTCCTCCTTTCAGGCGTCCTCGGTTTCTCCATCACGTCTGTTCTTTGCTCCAGGGGAACCGTCACCTTCCGCACAGCTGGCTCAGGTCTCTCCTTGCTGGTGGGAAGACTCGGTGAGTTCCTCGCATCCCATCTTAGTGTTTTGTTGTCTTAATTCCACTTTTTCTCGCATGACCGTTGACTCTCAGTATTACCCGGTGTTGTTGCCTAGACAACTTGGGTGGTTATCAGGCAGGGATTTGTATAGACGGTCCCTCAAGTGGGATTTTGAAACTATTGCGTTTAGAACGCACGTCTCCCCTAAAATCTGTTTCCTTGAAAAACCGCACCTTTCGGCGCGTGGAGGGTACGTATGACGTTGGACAGGCGTACCATCCTATACAGAAAACCCAGAGCCCTGAGCTGTCTGTTATCCCCCACCCATCCCTCCCCCAGGACCCGGCAATCACAAATCCACTTTCTGTCTCTGGTGGTTGGCCCATTTTGAACATCTCCTATAAGTTGATTCGATCAAAAGGTGGTCTTTTGTGTTTGTGCCACTTAAGCGAAACATTCTCGGGCACCTTCATCCTGTAGCACCAATGTACGTACGCCATTCCTTCCTATGGCCCAGCGATACTTCATGTTACACAGAGGCCACGCCCCATCATTGATTTCTCCACTCACCAATGGATCTTGCGTGGAACCGTCATGGAGCCCGATCGATGCCTTGGGTGGCTGGCTTTGTTTGGCTTGTGCTTTGGGTGTCGGTATCTGAGGAACTCTACCTCCAGTCCAGGTCCCAGGGACCCGCACCTGTGTGTTCTTCTAAGACACGGACATTGGGATCTCCGATTTAAGCCTCTCCTTCACGTTCAGTTCATTTTTGCATATGACGGGAGGTAGGCCTTCCGATGGGTTTTGGTTTTGGTCAAAACCAAATATGTACATACACATTTTTTTCTTTCAAAACCAAATATATACATACATATTTTTTTTCTCTTTTACTTTACACACACACACACACACACACACGTAAAGTAAAAGAGAAGCTTCCCCTCCCCCCTTCAAAATATCCAAATTGCCTCCACCAAGAGGAGCCTAAAGAAACCTGAGGACTGACCACTGTATGTGAGTCATTTTGCAACATTGAGGGGACATTAGAATGAAATGGAGGGAATTAAGGAGGGATGGACTTCAGTTAATCACAAAGAAATACAGACACCATTTCCCCTCCCTGGGAAACCACCATTTCCAGACGCGAGAGCTCTGACAGACGAGGTACAGTCCCAAGAGCCAGCCCTTCCATGGACTGGGTTTTTTATTTATTTATTTTTAAAAAAATATGTATTTTATTGATTTTTTACAGAGAGGAAGGGAGAAGGATAGAGAGCTAGAAACATGGACCAGCTGCCTCCTGCACACCTCCCACTGAGGATGTGCCCGCTACCAAGGTACATGACCTTGACTGGAATCAAACCTGGGACCTTTCAGGCCAATGCTCTATCCACTGAACCAAACCTGTTTTAGCTGGAGTGTGTTTTTTTATTTTAAATATAATGACTTACGTGCAGTAAACATATTTCAAGGGGAAAAAAAGGATTTTAAGTATAACGGTGTCACCCAAACTGTACTGACATCATAGCACACAAGTTGTAAGAAATACTAAGAATCTGCAAATAACAGGATGATTTCTAGTATATTCTAAAATATGTGCCCTTCCCCTCTGGCTCTATTTTTGTCCATCAGTTTATGTTGTTCATTATATCCCACAAATGAGTGAGATCATGTGGTATTTATCTTTCTCTGACTGGCTTATTTCGCTCAGCATAATGATCTCCAGGTCCATCCATGCTGTTTCAAATGGGAAAAGTTCCTTCTTTTTTACAGGATTGTAGTATTCCATGGTGTAGACGGAACACAGTTTTTAATCCACTCATCTGGGAAATGGGCACTTAGGCTGTTTCCAGATCTTAGCTTTGGTGAATTTGCTGCTATGAACATAGGGGTGCATATGTCCTTTCTGATTGGTGTTTCTGATTTCTTGGGATATCTTTCCAGAAGTGGGACCACTGGGTCAAATGGGAGTTACATTTTTAATTTTTTAAAAAAATTATTTTATTGATTTTTTACAGAGAGGATGGGAGAGAGATACTTAGAAATGCTGATGAGAGAGAAACATAGATCGGCTGCCTCCTGCACACCCCTTACTGGGGATGTGCCCAAAACCAAGGTACATGCCCTTGACCGGAATCAAATTTGGGACCTTTCAATCCTCAGGCCAACGCTCTATCCACTGAGCCAAACCAGTTAGTGCCATTTTTAATTATTTAGGAAACTCTGTACTCTTTTTTTTTTTTTTTTAAAGGAGGGCGGGCGGGCGGGGAGGGGAAGGGAACAAAACTCTGTACTCTTTTCCAACGCACCACATGTGGTTCTTTGGCCCCTTGAATGTGGCTTTTCCACAAAATATCATGGCCTGGGAGAGCCTATTTTGAAGTGGCCTTAGAAGATGTTTAAGTTTAAAAAATTGGGCTCTCCAAAGAAATTTCAATCACTGTCCTGTTGATATTTGGCTCTGTGGACTCATGAGTTTGCTGACCTCACAGTTGGCAACGAGGCTGGGGGGGGGCATATTTTAGGGGTGTCTTATTCTAAACACATTCGTGTTACTTCCCATGAAATGTGAGAACTACTAGAAATGGCTTTTGTGGGGTTTTGTTGTTGTTGTTGTCGTCAAAAACCGTTCAACATTGACCACTCCCTGGTTCAGCCTAAACCTTCCTTCCTTATGTCGGCCATATTCTATTTTACGGTCTGCATATACGTTAGGGGAGATAACGATAGGGTTGGGGCTCAGGGCTGAGCGCAGGGGATGGAAATGGAAGGGTACCAGGACAAAACCCAGGGGTCCGGGCTGCGGTCACTGCTTGAGGCCTTGAGCAGACACAGGGTTGAATGGTTCCTAGGTGGGCACTGGCTCCAATCCTGCCGGCAGCTCAGGAGAGCAGCAGGGCAGCCAAAAAAGAAAAAAAAATCCTGTTCTACCCCTCGCCTCCCCATCCCACCGGCCAGCTGCTTATCTCGGGTAGAAAGGACAAAGATTACGTGCGGCCGTAGGCATTTGCAGGTATGGAAACGCAGGACAGAGATAAAGGTTACCGGTTACGGCATCGGCCAGACGGGTCCCGGGACCAGATCACAAGGCATAAGGGCCTGGGGGCTGCAAAGGGCAGGCGCCTCTGGCCCTGGTTTCAGCCACGGGGCTGTACATTTTTTCCTGGTGATAACGCATTCTCAGAAAAAGGAGGAAGGGCTATATTCCTCCGTGAGCTCCCCCCCGTCCGGGTTAGAACGGGGGCATGGGGGGGGGGTGTGCTTTCTCGAACCAGGACAGAAGCACCCCAGTTCGCAGGGCAGGAGTCCTCCTATTCCTGATGCTTGTAACTGGTCCCCCCTCTCCCACTCCTGCCCCTCTCTCACTTCCCCCTCTCCCCCTGAGGCCCAGAAGCCCCAGCATTTCCCTATGAATGGCCCTGGCCCCCCGCCCCGGTCTCTCCAGTGTGAGGTCTGTAACAACTCGCTTAAGGGGATGAGGAAGGGGCTCAGCCCCTTTAATCGCCGGCCATCAGCGGACAATGGGGAAAGGGAAAGGGGTGCAAACAGTTGCAGATGTGGAATCCCGTGCTGCATTTCCCCTTGGGCTTGGGAACGGACTCCACGCCATGCAGATGCAAAAATTCTGGGGTGCCACCCGCAGAGGGTGTGGGGGTTTGGGGTGTGTGTGTGTGTGTGTGTGTGTGGTTCCTGGTTCGTTGGTGCTGTAGCAAAGTGCTTTTCCCCCCCATCCAGGCATCAGGGATTGCTGGTGGCCATTCCAATGTCTCCATGATCGCTTATATAGGGGTCTAAGCGCCTTTTATTTTTCTTGAGGTGGTGGTTTTACAAGAAATGACTAGCCTGATACCCTAGGCCATGATTTATTTCCTCTGCATTGGAGAGCTGGATCGAATGGAGGGTCTTGGCATTCGTTTTCGCCATTTCAAGTAGAAAACGGGGGGGATGAGGGTGGGGGGAATCTCTCTCTGAATGTGAACCATGCAGGGTCTTGGGGTTCCGCATTCCACGGGGCAGGATTCGAAATAACCTCGCATGTTTGCATCGATGGCTGATTTGCACCTTTTTGGTGCAAAAAAATAAAAATAAAAATGGGCCTTTTTGCAAAGCCGCCGCTTTTCTCCGGTCGGCATCTGGGTGGGCGTTGGCGCATCAGGATCGATCGACGTTTATGGGCTGGGGAAGCGAGAATTATCATTTCCTGAGCGCCGGACATGCATTTAAAAACGGGGGGGGGGGCATTGTCTCTCACCCCGGGGTGCCCCGGGGCCGGGCGGACCCCCAAACCCCCAGCCCCCCGGTTCTTGGCGCAGGCGCCCCACGCTGCGGCAAGAAGGCGGCACTGCGGGGGCGAGTTGCCGCGCATGCGCGGGGCCGACGGGGGTGCGAGAGGTTCGGGGGTGCGGAGGGGGGCGCATGCGCAGACGGGACCGGCTGGCGCGTTCTGGGGGCGCTGCGGCGCCGAACCCCCGCGCAGAGCGGAGCGGCGGCCGGAGATGCCGGACGTGTCCGTGTGAGCTGCGGCGGCGGCGCGATGGACCGGGCCAGGTCAGCCTCGGAGGCCCGGGGAGCCGTCCCCTGCAGGCCCCGTGCGCCGGGGGACAGGACCTGGGCGGGGGGCGCGGTCTGAGCGGGGAAGGGGGCGATCCAGGGCCGAAAAGGGGGGATCGCGGGGTCCCCCTCGGACCAGAGGGCGGCGGGCTCGGCGGTGCGCGTTTGGAGGGCGGCCCGGCCGATCGGCGGCAGAGCGGGGCTCCCGGCGGGCCCCCGGCGGGGCGTCCCTTTGTCCTTGAGGCCGGAGCCCGGCGGGTGGGGGCGGGGGCCCGCCGCGGCTGCAGAGGGCGGGTGGGGTTGGGGTTGGGGACGGGACGGGACGCGATGGGGGTAGGGGAGGGGGTGGGGGGTGGGGGGTGGGGGCAGGGGCGGGGGCGGGCCGGCGCCGGAGGGGAGGGGGATGCGGGCGGGTGGGCTGCCCGCGGTGGCGTGAGGGGGCGGAGCGTGGGTGGTCATAATGGCCCCGGCGGCCAGGGGCGGCCAGAGCGGCGGCCGGAGGGTCTGAGCGCCCACGCCTCCCGCGGCGGCCGAGGTGCGAGCGGCGGCGGCGGGGACCGGGGCTGCGGCGGAGAATGCGATGTGGTGGCGGCTGCGGGGCTGATGCGGCGGCGGCGCCAGGAAGAAGGCGCTCGGTGCAGGGGCCGCGGTGGCAATGGCGGTGGCGGAGGCGGATCGCGGTGCGGGGGCCGCGATCGCGGTGGCGGAGGCGGATCGCGGTGGCAATGGCGGTGGCGGAGGCGGATCGCGGTGCGGGGGCCGCGATCGCGGTGGCGGATCGTGGTGCGGGGGCTGCGATCGCGGTTGCGGAGGTGGATCGTGGTGTGGAGGCCGCGATCGCGGTGGCGTTGGCGGATCGCAGTGGCCATGGCGGTGGCGGAGGAGGATCGCGGTGCAGGGTTTGCCAAGGCGGTGGCTGCGGTGCACGGATGGCCGCCCGCCTGGCGCTGACGTCACTTTGCAGAGAAGGATCCGAATGTCGGGGACCCCAGGGGGACGTTCTGATTGTGTGGCGGGGTGATCTGGTGCACGGGAATGGGTTCCCGGGCTTGTACTTGGCTCCTGGATCCTCCATCGCACGGCACCCGCGGTGGAGGGATCGCAAATAGGAGACTCGGTGTGCGATTGGGGGCTCGGGGCGCGGCGCTGGCTTCTGGCATCGGAAGAACATGCCTGTCGGTTTCGGGGGTGCGATGCCGTGGTTAGTAACCGTTTCGCCGCTTCGGGCATAAAGGCTTTTTGGTTGAAGGAGTCCGAAGGCGCGCTGGGGGGCTCAGATTTTTGGGTGGTGCATCCCTGCCTTTGTGCAGCGCCTCAAAGATGGCCGCCGCCGCAGTGGCGCGGGGCGTGCAGGGCGCAGGCGCCAAAGGCGGGGGGACCACCGCCCACCCGTCCCAGTGCCGCAATGGGGGGGGGGACAGCCCTGCGCATGCGCAGAGCGGAGGGGGCGGGCCGATAACGCCCCTCGCCAAAAGTGCCGCAGTGGCAGAGGGTGGGGTCCTGCGCAGGCGCGGCAAGTTGCAAAAGGGGGGTTCTGCGCAGGCGCAGCAAGCTCCAATGGGCGGGCTCCAGGGGCGGGCTTCTGCGCAGGCTCCGCCCCCTGCGCTGCACGCAGCCGCCCCCTTCGCCCCTTTAAAAGGCGCTGTCCCGCTCAGCGGCTGCGCAGTGGCGAGAAGGATGGAGACGAGGTCGGACGACGGTGGCGGCCGGCGCGGCGGCCTCTGCCACGCGGCAGCCCCTGCCCCGCAGCACAATGCGGAGGGCGAGGCGGCGGGCGCTTTGTGCTGGGGCGTCGCCTGCGTTGGCGGGCCGCCCGCCAGAGCCCCCCGAAGAGCGAGGTGAGGCCCGCGGGGCGACAAAGGTAAGGCGGCCCCCGTCTCGGGGGTCGCTTTTCTGACTCCTCGAAGTTTTCTTTTTCTTTTTGCAGGTTTGCCCCTCGGAGTGTGTGCGGAGCCACCTCACTAACTGTTCTCTCTCCGCAGAGCGGCCCCTTCCCAGAAAGCCGCCCCCCTTTGCAGGTGTTGGAGCAGCGCGCGGCGTCGGCGTCGCCGCCTCAGGCGTCGGAGGGGCCGCAGCCGCGGCCGGCCGCGCATGACGTCACCGTTATGAGGGGTCTCTGAGGGGGGCGGTCAGGGGCCGAGGGTCCGAAAGGCGGGGACACGGATCCAGGGCGCTGAGGGGAAATTAACAAACTGTAAATCAAGGTTTCCGATGCTCCACTCTGAGGGGGGGGTCCCAGGAGGGTTCGCAGTGAGAGGATCTTAATTTGGGGGGGCGGGGGGGTTATGAAAGGCTTTTGTGGGTTTTTTGGTGTGTTTTTTTTCCCCACAGGATTTTAATGTTACTTTTTTACAGGATTTTGAGGTGTTCGTCACCCCTTTTTCTCCCCTCATCACTCGCACCCAGGACACTGGCTGCGGGTCGGGAGGCGACTTAATTGGGAAAAGGCTTTGTTGGGGGGCTCTGTCCCGGGGAGGGGGCGGCGGGCTCGATCCCGCGACGCCAGGATGCGGCCGGGCAGCCGTCGGGGCTGCGGGCGGGGCGGGACCCGGGGACGTGGCGGGCGGTGGGAGGGGCCGGGAGGCGGGGGGGGGGGCTGGACCGTTTGGGTCTCGATGACGGGGCCCATTGTCCTCGGGCTCAGGCCGGTTTTCTCACGTCCGTGGGAAAAGCTGCGGCGGCGGGTTCGCGCCCAGGGCGCCCCGTTTCCCGCTTTTGGGTTTTATGGAGATGCCAATGGTTAAATTTCACTGATCCTCCCGTTAGGCGTGGAGATAAAGGGGGAGATATTTAGTTAAATGTTAGGGAAACGGTTGTGGGGTCTCAACCTGCTATTCTGCGGACTGACAGGTGTTTAAATTTTGTTTGGAAACAATTTGCGTTGTGCGTAATGCCCACTTAGTGGAATGTTGGTGTCTGGGGTGCGAAGCGGAGAAGGAAGGTTCCAGAAGCCTGTCAGCATTTCCCCCTTTAGAGGGCGGGGCTGGGGGGGGGAGACTGCGAGGTAGCGGAGGTGGCTTAGTTTTGTTAATTGTAATTAATTTCATTCCGTGTGGGAGGTGCCGTGCGGGGTCTCCTGAGGAGCGCCGCAGGGCCCGGGGCCATGTTTGGGTTTGGGGGCGCCCCCGCCTCTCCCTGCGCCCCGAAGGGGGGGCTGCAGAGTCCGCGGCGTTTGTCCTGGGGCGGGATGCTGAGCGTCGCCATTTTGGGGCGGAAACTCACATTTCCGTGGGTTTTGTCCTTTTCTTGAGGCGCAGGACTTGTGGCCTATTCGGGCCGTTGGAGGGCGTTGTTTCCTCGTTAAACGTTAAATCTGAGGGGAGCCCCTAAGTTTGGTCAGAAAAAAGCTGGGGGCCGGGCCGAGCGGGGCGCGGCCCCTCTTTGTCCGCGGTCCCCTCCTCCTCCTCCTCCTCTCCCCCTCCTCCCTCCTCCGCGGAGGAGCCTTTCCAGGCTCCATGTTGCTGAGGGGCGCCTGCACCTCCCAACAGGAAGGGCCACGTGGCGGGCTTGGTGCCTGCGGCGGCCATTTTGCAAGGCGGCCATTTTGTGGCGCTGGCGGCCGGCGGCCATTTTGTGGCGCTGCTCGGCGGCCATTTTGTGTGGCGGCCATTTTGTGAGCGGCGCTGCGGCCAGGCCCTAAGATGGCGGACGCTGCTCCCGCCTCCCTTTGTCCTGCACCTCAGGCCCTGCGGAGGGGGGTCGTTTCTGACCCCTCAAGGCAGGAGAGGTTTTGGGGGGACGGGCCGCTAACGCCGCCCCCTCCGCAGGGACCGCCTGCCCCAGCGACGCCCCGACCAGCAGGCGCCCGAGGCGGCGGTGCAGGTGAAGCGGCGCAGGACTGCCTCGCTGGGCGCACCCGTGTGAGTCCCAGCCCTGCACCCCCATCTACCGCCCGTTCCAACCCCCATCCCTCCCTCCCCCTGCACCCCATCCCTCCCCCGCTCCCACCCCCGTGGGCGCTGGGAGCCCAGGGCGTCGTCCTGGGCCGTTGGCCTCACCCTGACCGGGTAGTCAGTGCGCCCTGCCCGCTGGGCTCCGGGGGCGACGGCCTGCTGACCCTGCTGTGCTCCCCAGGTGCCCCCTGAACCCACGCCCTTCCCCGCGCCAGCCCGCGGCCCTCGTGGACTTCCTGGACTTCCCGGCCGAGCTGCGCCAGGCCTTCCTGGCCGAGACCCCCCGGGGCGGCTAGAGCCTCGGCCGAAGCCGACGCCGAGCGGAGCCCAGGTTTGAGCCCCAAGGCACGGTCCGCAGTGAGCTGCTGGGCGGGGCTGGGGGGTCACAGGAGCAGGACACCCCGTCCTCCGTCTGCACGCGGGCCGGGGTCTCCACACTCCACGGGACCAGAAGTGAAAGCACACAGATGCCCGCTGAGGGTCTGGCTAATGAATGTTCTAGAACCCTCTGCGGTGAGATTCCAGCTGGCAGTTTGTAAAGAGCAGTGCCTTGCTTTGCATTAAATGGTCACAGGCGTGGGGTGTGCACAGGGGCCGGAAGCTGTGCACGGTTGCTAAGGCACCTGCACGGTAGGGCCACCTGCAAGGCACTGAGCATCCTGGCCAGGCAGGCGCCACCCTGCTTAGCGTAGCTCCGCCTCCAGGGGGCGCCCCGCCCTTAGCAGAGAGGACCGTTAGCAAAGGGCCATGCCTCCTGCCTTTTGATTTGCCCTTTCTCTCTTTCTGTTCACACCCATGTATTTCCATCAGGTGACGCTGTAATAAAGACATTACCTATGATTTCCATGTGCTGTCGATTTATTTGCAGTTTGTCTGTTTATGTTTACTGCTTGCATTTTTAGGAAAAACCCATTCCATGTTTTAATTCTGATTTAATGCTTTGTTTTTCCTTTGTGACTTTTAACTTAAGATTGGAATGACCTCAGTGCAAAGGGTTTAATGTGCTTATTAGAAACTGATACAGAGATGAAGGGGGTCACAGGTGAGTTTCCTGCTAGTGTTTCATTTTCTATTTCTAGATATTATCCCTCCATGCCAATAACAAAGCCTATTTGTAAGGCAGAGGAGACAACGCAGATGCCCACGCAGGGAAGTTCCTCACCCGCAGAACCCACCAGACAGTGCACGGGGTCTGCCCACGGCAGGTACCAGAGGCTTCCTGCCTCCTGGTCAGGCCGACAGCCGTTGCATTGTGACTACAAATGCTGGCTGCATTCACACTAGTTGTGGTTGGAGGGGAAGGGTCAAGATGCATGAAGGCCTCAGGGCAGGGAAGGGGGGGCTCAGAGTCAGGACTAGGATCACGTTCAGATCAGCTCTACCTGTGAAGAGCAGTCCCACTTCCTTTGCATGGTTAAAGCATGTGGGCGATAGCCAAGAAAATAGGAGAGTTAAGCCCCAGCTTTATGCCCATCCTCAACCACAGCACGAGGTTGGAGTTTATTTTTCCCATTTTTGTTTTGAAAATGTAGATAGGGGTGGAATCTTGTCCTTAAAAACTAATTTACTTTCTATTTATTTCATTGACATAATCACAAATACTCATCTGCTTACACAGCCCTCATAATTATCATTCATAGTGAATAAATGATGGTCCACTCTGATTTAAGTTTCATCTATTTTTTTTCTAGTTTGCTGTGATGAGAGCATTAGTTCTGTGTTTTTCAGATTCATTGGTAACAAGTCGGTGTGGGGCTGGCAGGCACCGCAGGGCGTGAGGGTAAGGAGGTGCCATCAGAAGGAAAGGAGCTGTTAGCAGGACCACGCCAGGGCCTTATTGTTTGATTAATAACTTAATTATTAATCGAACAGTAAAGTTTCACACTTGTACCTGGCATTTCATGGTGAAAGCTTGCTACTTATTGTTGGCTTGTTTTGCAAACATGATGAGGAGTCTTTTACAAGGTTTCAATGAGCACAGGAATGTGTCTTGGCAAAATCAGACAATGTTGAAGTGCAGCAGCTTTTGTTCATGCAGTTCAGCCATTTTCCAGAAGGTTGAGAACTTGGTGTGAGGAGTGCCCGCAGTTAACATCAGGGACCTGGGGGCATGGTGGGCGAGGTGCCCTGGGATGGAGAGACAGCTGCCCCCTCGTGCATCTCCAGGTGACACTGTGACCTCTGTCTTCTGGTTCCCCTTCACCCTTGGCCTAGAGTCCATCCTTGTGCACAGTGATGTCTTCTCACATGGGCGTTGATTATGATTGCAGGACCTTAATTTAGGGTCGAGAGTTGGGCTTAAAATTCAAGGCCCTCCCATTAAAGGAAGAGTGAGGGTAGATGAGGATTCCCTCAGAGAATCCTGTCTCTAGTGGCCAAACTCTGCGCATGTGGGTTTGGATCAGTTGATTAGACATGCCTTTATGTAACTTCACTTTAAAGGTCACATCAGACATGAGGACATACATGCTCGGGTGACGGGAGAGGTGCTAGAATTAAAGGTGCTGGAGCCGAGTGGACAGTTGGGGGTTTGAGGGAAACCTGCATACAGGATGCACAACAGGGAGAAGCAAGGTTCTGGAGGAAGTGAGTTGTGAGCGATCAGGTATCACTGCTGAAGTTGAGATGACTTGGCATGAACTCAGGTCCCGAGCACGAAGCACTTGTGAGTAAGGGGAGCGGCAGTCTCTGCAGAACTAGAGCCAGAGGCTCCCCTGGGGCCTCGGAGAGCTGAGGTGGGAATGGGCGGCAGTGTCAGCGCACAGGGACAGGCACGGTGTGGGCACTGTTGAAGGTCAGTGGGTGTTCTAATGGCGCCTTTTCCAGTGATTTCCAGCCCAATAGATGGCAGCAGCTCAACCCTGCTTTCCTCTGCAGGCGCCCTCTGCCGGAGCTCCTGCCCCTCGCTTGTTCGTCACCCCTTTGTCTGTAGCCTCCTCCCCTTAGGTCTCGATTCCCACCTTTGCCTGTGGACGTGGACGAGGCAGCACCGCAGCCATGGTGAGTGGGCATGGGGGCGGTTAGCCAGTGCCTGGGGCAGCTGCTGTAAGACAGGGCCCACCTAGAGGGACGTCTCCCAAAGGGCCACAGGAGGTGTGAGACTTCAGAGGGGCGATGGAGGAAGCCCCTTGGAAAGGGGCTTGAGTCACATGCCACAGGATGGCCTTAAGGGAACTGGAGAGATGGGGGTGGGGCGGCTGCCCTTCCTGACAGGAGGGGCTCCGCTGTGAGGTGGAGAGGGCCAATGAGGCTGCAGGAGGAAGGGCCTGGGAGTCCACGGGGAGGTGAGTCAGGAGGGGGCAGGGCACAGGCAGGTTCTGGGGAGGAGGGTCCTCAGCAGAGCAGGGTTGTCTACAGGGGGGGGGCGTGGGTGACACAGGCTGGAGGGCAGCTGTTGACCAGCCGACCTGTCCCCGCAGACGGTGGGCAAGAGCAGCAAGATGCTGCAGCACATCGACTACCGCATGCGCTGCATCCTGCAGGACGGCCGCACCTTCATCGGCACCTTCAAGGCCTTCGACAAGCACATGAACCTGATCCTGTGCGACTGCGACGAGTTCCGCAAGATCAAGTGAGCCACCTCCCCCTTTCCTTTCCCTCTCTCTCCTTCTCTCTCTCTCTCCCTCTCTCTCTCCCTCTCTCTCTCCCTCTCTCTCTCTCTCTCTCTCTCACACACACACACACACACTCTCACACAACACAGCACAGGGCTCCTCTTACTGATGTCAGAGGGAGGGGGGAGGTGGAGATGAGGCAGAAACTTCCCCGATGACCATAGATAAGGTGCCTCCCGCCTCCCGCCTGCCCCGCCTGCTCCAGGCCTGGGAACGAACCATGACCTCCAGGGTCAGGGGTAGACCTCAGCCAGGGAGCCATGCCAGCAGGATGTGAGGACACTGAGTCTGTTCACTCTGCTCATAGCACAGCGACCACCTCATAGCGATGTGCACTCGGGCCGCCTTCTGTTGCCTACAGAGGGCGCTGTCACAGCTCCCTCTGCTCCCTGAGGAGCCTGATGGCCGCCTCCCATGGAAACACTGGTCTTGCTCCCCCACCTGGTCTTCCTGCTGTGACGGGAGGAAACTGGAACCATTCCCATGGCCATTTGTAGACCAGCAGGGAGGCCAGGATGTCCCCGTTGTTCCTCACGCCCCTTTACCTGTTGACAACTGTCCCCAGGTCTTCCTGGTCTCTATGGAGATGTGTTCAGTTAGAATGGTTCTAAGAACTTCCCATGTCAAGGCTTTAATTTGCCTAATGGTCAAAGCCAAGCTAGTCGAACCTCTTCGCAAAGCAATGTCGGTGTGGGCTCTGGTTAAGCCTCATCCAGGATGTGTCCTTGCTTTTTGAGAAGGTTGCACGGTCCCTAGACAGCCTCCTAGCGTTGGCTTCTGGTTTGTAGGCCCAAGAACGCCAAGCAGCCCGAGCGAGAAGAGAAGCGGGTGCTGGGCCTCGTGCTGCTGCGCGGGGAGAATCTGGTGTCCATGACGGTGGAGGGACCTCCCCCCAAAGACGTAAGCAGGGCAGGCACAGCTGGGCAGCATGGTTTGGGCTGGGCGGTCCCGCAGCATGTCCTAGGCCCACGGCCCCACCTGACTTCGTGTCTTATGGTGAACACGGCCTTTCTTCCGAGCTGGCACCCCATAGATCGGGGGCAGCCCCTTAAAAGAGTACAATTTGAAGGGTCAGCATCTGAGCTGTAGGAGCCTCCCTTGACCTTTAACATACCGGAGACTGAGGTTGGGAAGTGGTGGGAGACCTGCCCATCAGGGATGATGGGAGGAGGACCTCACTGTGATGGTCCTTTGACCTGGAGCTGTTCTTCCTGGTTTCAGACTGGCATCGCTCGCGTCCCCCTGGCCGGGGCTGCAGGAGGCCCTGGGGTTGGCAGGGCAGCTGGCAGAGGTGTACCTGCAGGCGTTCCAATTCCACAGGCTCCTGCGGGATTAGCAGGCCCTGTCCGAGGGGTTGGGGGACCCTCCCAGCAGGTGAGGAAACAGGAAAAGGTCTGGTGCTCTGGGGAAGTGGCCAGGGCCAGAGGATGGGAGCTGACACAGGCGTGTGCGCTTGGCGCGTGCAACAAAGGAGAAGCTGGTGCATGGACACCGGGGGACGCACACAATGCGCATCACCCCATCGGTTTCCTGTTTGAGGGAGGAGTTGCCTGACTTGGTTGTCTCCGGCGTCCTTCCCAGGTGATGACTCCACAGGGACGAGGCACCGTTGCAGCTGCTGCAGTGGCAGCCACGGCCAGCATTGCTGGCGCCCCGACTCAGTACCCCCCAGGGCGGGGGACGCCCCCCACCCCTGTAGGCCGGGCAACCCCCCCTCCAGGTAAGGAATTGGTGACAAGCAAAGTCACTTGGCTTTCAGAGGGGTGGGTCTGACAGCAGAGCATCACGGACAGCAGGATAGAGTGAGGGTCTAGCTCGGGACTGACCAGGGATAGACTTACCCCTGGTCCTCTTGGCATCCAGTGTGAGACTTACAGCTTCTCAGCCACATTGGTTTCAGCTTTGTGTCGGGTTCGGTGTTTTCCTATTTCTTGGTTATACCTGCTGCTTTCCTGTCCCAGGCATTATGGCTCCTCCACCAGGAATGAGACCACCCATGGGCCCACCCATTGGGCTGCCCCCTACTCGAGGGACCCCGATCGGCATGCCGCCTCCAGGAATGAGGCCCCCGCCCCCCGGGATCAGAGGTGAGTTGGCTCACAGCTCCCTGTATTTTAGGCGCACCTCTGATGATTGTCTCATGCAGGTTTGTTTATCTTCCAGGTCCACCTCCCCCAGGAATGCGTCCACCAAGACCCTAAGATACTGTTGTCCCCAGTCTCTCTCTCTCTCTCCCTGCGCTGTCTCGTGAAACTGTAGCGTGTTTGTGAGCTGTCCTCTGCTGCGTTAATATTCACTAATAAATGCAAAGAGCAACCACCGAGGGGCTGTTGTACGTTTTCTTGCCCTTTGGTTTTGTTGAGGTCAGTGAGGCTGGGATCGTTCTCTTCTTGGGTTTACTCTATGGGGGTGAGGTTAGCCTGCTGAGCAATGCATTCAGGGCCTTTCTCTTCAGGACATGTGTTGGCGATCTAACCTTCGCACTGTGCCTTGACAATTGTAACAGCCTCCACACGCATGCGTTTAGGTGGTGAGCTGAGAGGCATACGGTCTCTGTTCTGGTTGGGCGTACATACCTACAGGGCTGGGGTGGGCCGAGAGGGCTTGTGAGGCCACACAGGAGGAAGCTGGCAGGGATCATGCACTTGGAACGGGATGCCCACCCGCCCTGGTACGCTCTGCCTGTGGCCAGTGGCCACGATCCGGGAGTGACCACTGCTTCCCGCCCACAGGTAAGGACTTCTCCTTCCACTTGGGGCCAGGCTGGGGATGGGACGGGCACCTCAGATCCTAAGGGACAGTTGACACTCCATCCACTGTGTCACTTGGGTTCGCTGAGGAGCCCAGAGGTGAGGCATCATGTTTGCAGCCAGGAAGGAAAGCTAAAAAGTAACATGTGTGTTACACTGTAGTTATGGACATGTAATTCTTACATGTATTGCTATGATGCACACTGACCACCAGAGGGCAGACACTCAACACAGGAGCTGCCCCTGGTGGTCAGGGTGTTCCTACAGCCAACCTCCCATGGCCCTCAATCAGGGCTGCACCCCTGCACAAATTTGTGCACTGGGCTCTAGTTATTAGGGGGGAATATGGGCTTAGGCTAAGGCGACCAGATGTTCCGCTTTTGGTGAGACAGTCCCGATTTTTAACAATTTGTCCCACATCCCGCAGCATTTTCAAAAAGTCCTGATTTTTGGAAAGAATGCACGACAAGCTAGGGAACGGCAGGAGAAAGGGAAGGGAATATACAGTTTTCTGCAACCATGTGGCTATTTAGCCAAGATATAAAATTTTTATATTTTTGTTAATTTTACAATGTTAAACTTTAATAATAAGTAATTGTTGAGAACTGATTATCGAGACTGCTTATCCAAGTTCGCATTGTTGATCAGTTGTTAGAATTCACTCAAATGAGAAATATGCCAATAAAATACTATACATAATCTTTATTATATTTGTAAGTTGTACTTAGGCTGGATTTAAAAAAAATATATTACAATACTATTTTTGGGTTCTATGAAAAATTTTGTTGCTCCATATAGACCCAAATTTTTAATGAAAAACCCCATCCTCCCCTCCCCCCCAGATCAATGATGTCCTGCTTTACCAATGTTAAAATCTGGTCACCTTAGCTTAGCCTGCAGTTAGAAACCAGGGACCCTTGGTGTGTAGGAGTTAGCGTGTGGAACTAGTTGGTTGGGATTAACTCTGGACTGGACTGACTGTCTGCTCTTTCCAGCGAGGCTTGTTGGCCTCCATCTTTAACAAGAAACTGTCGGGAGGTGCAGGCTTGGCGATGGACTGCCAGGTAAGCAGCACATAAGGCCAGCCACCCTTCCCTTGCCAGAAGAGGTAGAACCAGCCCTGGTGCAGCATGTACCTGTGGGCGGGGCATGGTGACAGACCCCTGTTTTGTGTGGTCTGCTGGGATGACCAGAGAGTTCCGTGTGCGGATTAGTCTGACTTTGGAAGGACAACTGACTGCTGGAGAGCTGTGGGTGGGGTGCCATTAGGTTTTGGCCTCAGATCACACAGCTAGCTACTGGAGGCAGACCTCTGCCAGCCAGGACTCTCCTGCTGGGCAGGTCTTCACTCTGTAAAATCACATGACACTTTTAGTACAGGCTGGTAAAATAGTTTCAAGTAGAAGTCTGCCTTATGGCTGTTTTCTTGGGTGTTCTGTGTTTGATTTTTTTATATATAAAAGCATATCACAGCCCAACAATACTTCAACCTCTGGGCAAGGCTTTTTTCATTTCCAATGAAGCTATTGCTTTCAACAAGTAGGTCATTATAGTTCATTATAGTTGCTACAGAATCATGAGTTTTGTAAGGCTATCACCCGTTGCCTGATTTTTTTTTCTTAGTCATAGTTGCCTTCTATTTAACTTGGACCTGGCAACCGAGCCATAATGCTTAGGATTTTAATTGTTTTAAGTCAATGGACAAGGTGTGACCAGTGGGGTTGGCACAGTACAACGTGTCCAGTCTCTTACAATCCCTCTCTACCACACAGGAACGAACGCCTGAGAAGGAGGATGCACCCCGAATCCTGTTCAGCCAGCACTGCCACCCCCTGCCCGTGGGACAGGCCCCTTCAGGTAAAGTGATCGCGCAGAAACATCCGCGTGCATTGCAAAGGCCGTGGCTGGGTTCATGATGATACAGGACCTTGTCTGAACATCATGATCTCAAAATATGAGCTAGGAAGTGTCACTGAAATCTGGTCATGCGCCTCACCACACACCTAGACCATCTTGTCAACAGGAAGTGTTAGCTTGATGTGACAACTTAGCATACTTCCAATGGCAGTTAAAGCACATGTCAGTTCCTCAGACATCCTTCTGCAAAACCTTCACACACATTTCAAGCCCATCCTTTTCTCTTCTGTACATATTTGTGCTGTTGGAGGCAACAAAGGAGGCCCACCCTCGGACCCCGACAGGCACATGTGGAGACTGCCCGCCCCCCCGCCTGGGATGGAACACCGACACCCACCTTCTAAGTGTCTCATGGTGGCTAAGTGGAGGCCTCCCATTGACCAACATGCCAGCTGGATGGAAAATGCCTTCACGTGGACACAGCCCCTGTTCGAAGACAATTTATCTTGTCTGTAACCTAGGTTAGCGATTTTCAGCCCATGAGCTGCAAATTTTTAAAGCATGTAGTGCACCCTTCTTTAGGTCTCACATAAATGACAAGAGTCAACACAACATTGGCTGTTCAGCATGAATTAAAATTACTTATTTTCTAGGTTAAATTGGCAAAAATTGTATATTTTGGTGGCCCCCAGAAGTTTACTAATTGGCTTATGTGCTATAAGATGAGAAAGGTTGAAAATCACTGACCTAGGTTTAAGGTCTTACACGGTCAATGTTCAAGAAATGTGTGGCACTAACGAATGTTAGCAATAAGCAATACAAGCCCTGACGTGCTTTAAAGTGACTCCCCTACAGTGGAAATCTGTGATGATAATCCAGGCCTTTGCCCCAACTCCACCCTCATCTCTAAAGGAGCTGCTGCTCCCAGATAGGGCTGAGCTGTGGTGCCTGCAGGGACACAGCCTTTGTAGTCGGAAATTCTGCGTGAGGTCCCAGAGCAGGGAGAGGGCCTGGCTCGCATAGGGAGATACCTGGCAGAGCAGCAGCATGTGACTGCAGTCCTAAGACCATGATAGTGGAGTGAGTGAGTGGGTGGGTGGGTGGGTGGGTGGGTAGGTGACTGACTGCCTGCCGGCAGGAAACCACAGTGACAACAGCCTCTGGGCAGTCAGGAGGGACAGCACCAGGTGTGGCTGCCATTTAATTCCAAATTGCAGTTGAAGTCTCACATGACTTTATCATTTAAAGGGTTGTAACTGTGCCCAGGACTCCTGCCTTCAGTAGTATCTTTGTCCTTCAGCATCTTATTGAGCCTCTTTCTTATGTAGCATTTCCTTACTGAGCTTCTCTGTCTGATGTAGCATCTTATCTCATTGAGCTCTGTCTGATGGAGCATCTTTTTACTGAGCTTCTCTGCCTTATGTAGCATCCCCTTATTGAGCTTCTCTGATGTAGCATCTTACTGAGCTTCTCTGTAGCATCTCCTTACTGAGCTTCTCTGCCTTATGGAGCATTTCTTTATTTATTGAGCTTCTCTGCCTTATGGAGCATCTTATTGAGCTTCTGTCTTCATGTAGCATCTTAATGAGCTTCTTTACCTGGTCACAGCATCTGTCTTCATGTAGGATCTTTATCTAATTGCAGCTTCTTTATTTTCCTGTAGAATCTTTGTCACTTAGCAGCCATAATGAAGGTAAAAGTAGGTTCCCAATATGAGTAATTGACGAGACAAGTGGATTTCATCTGTTCAGTCTGACTTCCTTTTTCTTGGCCTTTCTCACTGACCATTGAACCTTGATTTTCTCCACACTTGGGAATACTTTAGTTTTCTCCATGTCACCTTGCTCTTCGATGGGATTCCAGTATGCTGTTGGAGGAGAGGAACCTTAGTCTTCTTCCTCCTGTTATATCTGTCTGCTGGTTTCTGGTGTTCCACTTTCCACTTTTCAGTTTGTTGGGCATTTGGTTTGAAAGAGTGGATTCTAGGTATTTTCTTGTAAGGCACCAAAGGTCTCAACCCAATTCTGACAGATTTCTGGATGTTTCATGATCTTTGATTCCCCATCCCTAGATTTCCACCTTAATTCTGGGTCATTGAGTGACATTGTTGTCCAAGAGGATTGATCGGTCATGCCCTCTGGTAGGCAAGGGCTGTCCTGGTAGTAGAAATGTACAGTCCACAGGCATTACCCTCCAACCAGGTGCACTTGCTGCTGGTAAGACGTGGGCTTGACTCATGATGAGCTATGTTGTCTGAACTGAATGGCGTGAAGGTCACCCGAACGAACACACTCTGAAGTCCAGCCACAGTGTCCATCCACGCTCGTGGGCCGCACATTTCTTTAACATCCGTCTGTAGGCTGTACATTTCACCAGGCTTCCCGTCAACACTGCAGGTCTGTGAGAGGAAGGAGGGAGCTGTGGGTTCTGATCCCCACGCACCACATGGTTTCTTGTGTCTCAGCATATGCTGTCTCACCTTTGACTTTCCCATCATGCATTTCAAGTGACACCTCGTGACAGTTTCACTGGTTCCCGCCTTGGACCAGAGCTTCCTGAGACCATGGCCCCCAGCCCCTCGGAGCAGCTCCAGTTAGCACATGAGGCAGAACATGCCAGTTGGTTGAGACCTTGCTTTTGTCTAAGATCAGTTTACTTTTTTTTCCACCAGAGGGAGCACTCTCATTCTTTTCTTAGTCACCACCTTCTGCATCTTGGCAAGATGGATATTGATTGTTGGCTCAGATTCAAGGGGGTGAAGGGGCGTTGGCAGTGGGTGAATCTGAGCATAGGTGAGGGACATTTTTGCCAAAATGCCATGCATTCTTTGAACGGGGACTTCACGTCATTCTTTAACATCTGTCTTGTGTGAGTAATGGATCTTAAGACCCGAGATTGACATTCTACGACTAAGTGCTTGTGCTTTGCTTGTAGTAGCTCTTGTGAGGGATTGAATAGTAATTAAACAGGTATTTAGGAAAACCTGTATAAAAAAGTTACCATGGACAGTTGAATGTATTAAGACCTTATCCTTAAATAGTCACCTTAATTTCAATGCATGTGTGTGAGTGTGTGTAAATAGTGTGGGTGTGGCTAGTGTGGCGAGTGAACAGCTTTTAGTGGAAAAAGCTGTAAAGATTAACAAACAACGTTCTTTGTAAATAGGTTAGATAAGTATTAGCAGTTTTTACCTTGTTTAGTTCCAGTTATCCTACCAGAATTTTTTTTTTTTTTTAAATATTTACTACCTCAGAGACTTGTTTGGTTTCTCTTAGAGAATTGAGAGAAGAAAGATGCCCTTTCTACTAACTGAATTACAGTGGAAACATGCAGTCGAGGGAGTTAGCAGTCTTTTGACCTTGGACATTGGGCGCAAGTTAGGGTGGTACCGACTGCTGAGAGAAGGGACCCTGGTCAAGCTGGCTGAGAACCATCAGTACATCCATTCTTGAGGCGCATGTGGCCTAGAGAGAACCCTGCACACTCTCTGGAAGTGATCAGGTGCTTGTTTCATGGATGGGGAGGGCTGACTTGATCAGACTCGTTGGGAAGGCTGAGATGGAGAGTGAGTGGTGGGCACAGGGAAGAAGGGAAAAGAGGGTTTAAAGGGATTCCATCAGGTTGAAGGGAACCATCTGGGTAAATGGAGAGCAACATCAGTTACTTCATTTGTGAGTCTTGGAATATCAGGAGGCTGTGGGGGAGGTTAGGTACTGTGTCATTCAGCGCCTTGGTCTCAGCCAGCCTTGATTGGTTAGCTCCGGGTCCTTTCTTGAGATGACAGCTGGGTTAGTAGAATAGGTGAAGGGGTTTGCATTTGTAGCCAGCTAAGATGAGGCCAAACTTGTCTCCAACCTTAGTGCACATGAGAATCAGTTTGCGGGCTTGTACAGTTTGTCTGCTGCTGATTCAGTAGGTCTAGGGCGGAAAAGGTGACATGCCCTGTTCAGGCACCACACAGAGAACCAATAGCTGGGGGTGTGATTCAGAGTTCCTTGGGCATTATCTGAAAGGACTGTTCCACACGCCAATCTACATAGACCTCATTGTGGAACATTTAAAATTGATTCATTGGAGCATTTAATTTGGAAAGAAATTGGTTGTCTAAAAGTGAATGCAAAATGCTTTTTTCTTAAAATATAACCAATTAGTAATCAAATTTGTAATTGGCCAGAAACTGAACATTTGAGTGTGAATCCTTTAATCAGAATAAATTGCCAAAATAAATTTAAATTATGTACCTGATTGGAGAAAGCAAATTAATTTGGATAATGTCTCTAATAATGAATCAACTACCCAAATATTGACCTCAATTTGGATGAAACTGAACAGTAAAGTTTCCAGAAAACAGTAGTATTCTCAATAGCATGCTAATTTCAGAGACATGGTAATTTTGCCAGATGCTTCCACTGTGGGGGAGTGTTTTATCCAGTTTGTGTTCTGTGTTGGTTACTGAACTGTGCACAACTTTATTATTTTTTGCATATGGTTGTTGTATTGTAAGCATCCACTCCTAAGTCATTTAAAATGGCCATAACTGGCAATACCAATGAGTTAATGGGTGATGCTATTTTCTAGTGGCAAATTTCAATATGTATTTAATAGCTTTGCTGTAAATATCCTGGTGGCAATATTTGGTATTGAAATTGAGCTTTTGTAAATACGCTTCTAAATGGGAATAGTGTTACAATGGACTGTTCACTGTTAGTGGCAAGCTTTGACATTTTGCCACTTCAGTCAGGGTTTCTCTGTATTGGGAGGTGCTGAGGAGTGTGGAGGTAGAGAGACTTTGCAGTGAATGAAAAAGGAACCCAGACTAGAAACAAAGAGACCTCTTCTGTGGCTTGGACCGAATTCAAATGAGCAATCATGTTGTTTTAGGAAATTGTGACTTAGGAAGGGACTCCGATGAAATAAGGGGAGACCTCTCCTCTGTGGTTGGACTCAATAAAATGAGCAATCATGGAGGATTTTTTTTTAATTGTGACATGAAGGACCTCAACCTTGAAACAAGGAGACCTCTCTTCTATGGTTTGGACTCAGTAAAATGAGCAATCATGGAAGACTTACTTGTGACCTGTAAAGGATGTAAATTTGAAACAAGGAGACCTCTCTTCTGTGATTCGGACTCAATAAAATGAGCAATCATGGAAGACTTAAAAATGTGACCTATAAAGGAAAGGGACCTAAATTTCAAACAAGAAGACCTCTTTTCTGTGGTTTGGACTCAAAAATGAGAAATCATGGAAGACTTAAAGTTGTGACTTAAAAAGACCTGAATTTGAAACAAGGAGACCTCTTTTCTGTGGCTTGGGCTGAAGATAGGGAGAAATCCCACAGGATTTATAAAAAACTGATAGTTTCTATGAGAATTAAATTACTGCAATGATATGGATTTTCTTATTTTTGTAGGATGGCAGAAAAAAAAGTGACCTATTTTTCTAATTATCTTTTGCTTAATGTGTAACTCTCTGGTGAGCATGACTGAATGGATTGGGTGTTTTCTCAGTTAAGGTCTTAGGTGAGGCCAAAGGAATATTTGAAATTTCCCACCCCTCCAAAACCCGAACCACAGTGAGAAAACTAAAATATTTAAACACAACTCACTGAGGAATATCTTTGTCTTAGATTGCAATATGGTAAAATTTGATTAAATGTTTACAAGAAAGCATACCCTGACTTTTCTGGTATTTTATGGAGAGAGATTCATTGGCCTTAAAGTCATTGCTGTTCTCTTTCCAAGATCTAGTGTAATTAATAGGCATTTCATATAGATTTGAAGGATAGATCGTATGTCATAATTTGGTTAAATTATTGGGTAAAATCTATTCATAAAGAAACAAAAGGTACAAGAAATGACAATTCAGCTTCTAGTTTAAATCTCAATTCTTAAAGATTTAAGTCGACACAATGGCATTTGATATTGCCTCTGCTGTGTGCAGAGAATTGGGTGACACCATTCTAAATTCAACTTGCTTATTCATAGTTAAGGAATACTTCCCATTTCGATTTGGCTTCTGTGGAAAGGAAAAGGGTCATTCTTAAAGTCATCCATCTGTTTCAGTCTAGCTCACTAGAGAATAAAACTTACCTGTTTAAAAAAAAAAAAAACAAGCAGGTGAACGAATCTCTTGTACAACCTCTTAGAGATCAAGAGTTCATTGTTATTGAGAGTATACAACTGTTTACTTAGTGGTAACCATGGACGTAGCCACATAAAATTATGTAAATAGACCTATCATTGTTTAGCTTTTCTAATGTACATAAACGTCTTCTACAACTTGCTGTTAAAACACTTGGAACAGTTGTTTTTAAAATGACAAGACCATGTCTGGATCGCTCCAAGAAAAAACTAGCAAGTGACCATGTGAAAAAACTCCATGCCATCATAACCATCACTTCAAAACCATTGCATGATACCTTTGACTGAGTTTTATAGAAATGTAAAAAGCTGCTGCCAACGAGGGGTTGACCAAGGGGCAGGCATTGGACACGTCTGGAGCCTGAGAACCATGGACAAGGGTTTCTTGCCAAAAGTAAGAACCTGCGTAGCCGGGGGATTGCTGCTCAGGCTCCAGTAGATGGCTGCTCGGCACCTACCTTTCCAATTGGCAGTTCGACCTCATGTAACTTTTTTAAAACTCCCAGCCGTCGCCTTACTTCTGTCTTCAGATTCTCTCTTCCGTCTGTCTGCCAGAGTCTCTGACAGATGACGAACCACATCGTGTTCCAACAGTATTATGATAAGCAATAATCAGAAGAGGGGAAAGATTCCACAGACTGATACTATCAGCGTCTTTTGCCACTCTCAAAACCAGTAATCTTCACTTGTCACCTTTGAAGAGTTGGATTCTCAAAATCTGGGATGTTCATTCATCAAACCCCCCGGTCCCCTAACAACCATCTCCAGAAGTTTGTACAGCAGAAACCGTTACTGAAAGCCACGATGATGTACAATGGATGGGCCTGAGATCCCAGCCTGAGGAACTGCCCGGCCTGAACCAGGGAACTCTGTGGGCATCTAAACCTCATGCAAACTGAAGGGGTCTTTGGCCAGATCGAGAGCCATTATCCCACCCTAATAAGAATCGATGCCTGGGCCAAAAGCATAGGAACGGCATCGCTCATTCCGTATTCCTCCCCAAAAAGCGGTGTGAAGGGCAACATCAAGCAGACACAAGTCAACCCCGCAGGAATCTGGAGAGGAAGGACACACAGCACATTCTTACTGATCTTGAAGCTTTACCAGCCACAAGGACAAGAAACACAGATTTATACTCTTTGGACCATCCGCTCTTACATCTCTTTGGAGAAAAAGAATATTTTGTGGGGAATCTCAGCTCCCCTTCAGAAGGTCTACCATTGAAAGCTGTGTATCAGAGACATTTGTATAGATGCCTGAGGCACAGGTCTCCCAGTTTTTTCTCCAATTAGCATTTTAAAAACAACTAAGAATCTAACCCTGCTCACTTTATTGCCCACATAAAGCTGAACAATTGATGGACATTGGTATGGACAATGATGTTAAAATGTAAATATGAAATACTCAGTGACTAAAGAATGTTATGAACTGTTCTTGGTGTGAGGAGACAAAGAGAATGAAATTCGGCATATAATGGTTTCATTTTCTTGTATTTTATTCTTTGTTTACGTAAACTTCCTTGGAATATAAACTCAAGCACAGAGGCCTCCATTTGTAAACAAATCTGTTATTTTTGAATATTTTTGTAACGGTTGCTGTGATATATTCAAGCTGGTTTCCTAGGGAAGTTTCTAATAACACATTTGGTAAAATTGTCTTCTGGATTAGTTTTGTAAAGCTATACACAATTCTGGACTCGTTTGTGCTCAGGGATAGCAGAAAAGGAAATG